TTTCACTTTTCTCCTGTGTCTGTAAAAGCAGGTAGGTGATGTAAGGTGGGGCAGGTTGTGTAGTCCAGCCCTAGACTGTCAGTAGGGGACAAGTTTCCTGTTCAGCCCCAACAAGCAAAGTAAATTTTGTTAAAATACCTCAAGTTCGGCGAGGGTGAGACAGTCTGAGTGGCCATCAGGGACCTGTTCACCCACTCAGAGTCAATTTCCCCACAGTGAGTAGAGATCATTCTGTATCTGTCTCAACATAGCAAGAACAACTCCAACCCTGGGAAGCTGCTACTGATAGTAGCCCTTTCCTATTTAAGTGGGAGGGCTGGGACCTGCTGTCTATGATAGTCTCCCGAACATAGGTCAGCCCAGTACAAGTTCATGCTGAATCAGTGATTAGCCTGTATGAGTTCCAGGGTTAGCACTTGGTGGGAAACTCCCTGACTGAAACTTTCTGTTGGAGTCATACTTACATGGCGCTGGAGGGTAGTGGAGGTGGTGTTTGCGGCTGCACGGATGCAATGTACCGTGTTGCCTGGTAGGTACTAACAGTTCCTTCAGACCCCAAGAGGTTTCTGGGGGAGCGGTGAGGTTTTGCAAGTTGAATTTGTTCCCGTTTTCACTGGGAGCAAAACCTCTGCCTCAGCCTCACAAGTTCAACTGTGAGTTCTTGCAGCTACTGCTTGAATGACAGGATGATGCAGAGCGCGCTCATTTTTTCACCCCACTAGCCAGGCTGCTCTCATCTCTCTTTGCCATGATGCGCCCCTTTAGCTGACGGATGTGCTGCGATGTTGGCAAGCTGGACATCTAATTCCAACATTGACATCAAATGGCAGAGCCGCAGACCTGGAACTGGTTGGCAGAAGATTAGCGGGAGCCCTGGATCAAGTACATCCTTGCTGGAACTCTGTTCACTTTACTTACCTTGCACACTGAAAGGAAGTTTCACCAAGCCTCAGTATAACATCCTGCAAGTGCTGGCACAAAAGGGAAATCTGAACAGACCTGAAGGGAAAAAGCTCTTGTATATAAAGCTTAGCACCACAGCCGGGCAAGCCGTCTAGTGAGATTGGATTGTGTTCCCAAAAAGGGGATTGGAGTTCAGTTTTCAAGCTGGGAGAGGACAGTTTGATTAATCAGATTTGGATAACAGCTACTAAAGCATTCATGGGCAAATCTTTTCAAGTATAGCCTCAAGCTACAGGGAATGGAATCTTTTAACAGGTTTCCAACTGTACAATGCTGTCAGGAAAAATCACAGGGAGCCATTTCCTACAGAATGGCTTGTTGGATTTTTCTGCTTGATGTGGAAATCTGAAACTGTTATAATTATCTCATACTATCTGGTAAAGTCATTTTAGGGTCACACTCAGTCTTGATGTAAATAGATGGCACTCCATTGGCTCCAGTGGAATTTCACTGTTGTAAGAGTCTGAATTTGGCCCCTTGGTACTCATGGAATCATTATCTAGTTAGAGCACTCAACTGGGAGTCATTTGTTTCAAGTTCTTTCTCCTGCTCTCTACTGACTCACTGTGCGGCTCTGGAAAAATCCTTTGTCTTGCTCTGCGTCAGTTTCATTTCCTATAAAATGGGCAGAACACCTTCCTAGCAAAGGTATTTGGCTGTAATTTCAGAGATTTGAGTTCAGTTCTTAGTGCTGCCACAAACTTCCTGTATGTCATCTAATCTCACTGGGCATTTCATTGCTTAAGGCTCCTTTTGTGTCAGCCTACTAGGAGCAAGTGTCATAGGGCAGTTGTAAGGCTTCTTCCCTCACGCAGGGAGGACACCCAGTCCTGGGTGGCAGGCATCTGTACCTGGCACAGAACTGGCTCCACTAGGTCTGTGCTGCCTTCAGTCACTGAGGGCATTCCAGGGTGGCTTGGAGCAGGGGCAGACCAGAAGAGGGCGGACCTGCAACCTGGTGATTCTGTGTCTCTGGGAAGCCTAAGGACCTTTAAAGTCTGCTCCTCTAGCCCTGCAGAAAAGGTGGGAGTGGTGGTTCAGATTTTGTGCAGTTTGATGTCAGAGAAGCTGGGTATGGCAGTGACTTTTGGCAGTCACTACTGTCCCTGGGTAATTCCTTTTTGTAATCCCTGTAGTGATTGAATTGTATTTGGTGAAGACACATGGTGTCCCCTCGGTCTGAGCTGCTGCAATGTCCCTCACTTGCTTGGGGAGCTTCAGTCTGTACCTTACATATCGAATGCTGCTTCCTTCCAGGCTGTTCACATCAAAGCACAAGGTGCTGAATTTCTGATTGAAGATGTGGGTCTTGACCTGTAAAGGTCAGGTGATTTGGGGCCTGGCTACTTTAGATATTGCAGCTAAGGGTACCTCAGTTCCAGTCTTGTACAATAGTAGCTGAGATCACCTGGGGTGCTCAAGCTGGCAGTTCTCTGGTTTAATGCAAAGGGGTTTCTGGCAGGTTGATTTCAGAGATGGGACCTCCGTTCTGGAACTCACTTCCTTGACAGACCAAGTTTGCTGCTTTTGGGGGCCTGCTGCAAGGCCTGTCTTCCCAAGCGGTGAGCTGGTTGGAAAGGGTCGTTAGTCCTAACAGGCTGGAGGGTTTGATTACTGAAATTCACGCAAACTGAAGGCTTTTTGAATGTTTCACAGCAGATAGGATGGCACATGTAAAAATGTCATGATTAATGAGATTCTCCTGGCAACAGCACAGGCTGCATGCAGTGATTCAGCCATACAGATGCCCACACATTCTGCTGCAGGTACGCTGGTCTGAAATATAGGCGTCTCTTCAGTTCCGCCTTGTGCCTAGCAGTGGTAATTGCAGCTTAATGTTTAAGGTTTCTGAGCAGAACTACCATTAATACTGAAAGGTCTCCAGGTCATTGTTAGAGGCATTAGAGTAATTTAATATTGGAGCAGTAAACGCCACATGTTCCTCTTTTTAAAAATAAGCACTTAATAGCTTTCTGCTGATACTGTCTGACCTCCAGTAAGGAGTCTTTGTACTGTACTATGCCTGATTCTCACCCAGTCGGGAGTCTTTGTTCCTGGAATTGTAGTGCAGAGCAGCGGGAAGCCAGGAGGTTCTATTTAATGGACATTTGTGTGCAGTTCCAATTCAGATATGTTGCTTTTCATCTGGAATCTGCCATATCCATCCAGAGTCTTGGAACATATTATCTGAACTGGAAAATCAAAACTCTCTGCAAAGTACCTTAAATTATTCACATTTGAAAACACTCCCGATATAAGAACGTCCGTGCCGGGTCAGCCAGTGGCCAATGCCAGGTGCCCCAGAGGGAGTGAACAGAACAGGGAATCATCAAATGATCCCTCCCCTGTCATCCATTCCCAGCTTCTGACAAAGAGAGGCTAGAGACACCATCTCTGCCCGTCCTGGCTAATAGCCATTGATGGACCTCTCCTCTCTGAATTTATCTAGTTCATTTTTGAACCCTGTTACAGTCCTGGTCTTCATGATATCCTCTGGCAAGGAGTTCCACAGGTTGACTGTGTGTTGTGTGAAGAAAAACTTTATTTTGTTTGTTTTAAATCTGCTGCCTATTCATTTCATTTAGTAACCCCTAGTTCTTGGGTTATGGGAACAAGTAAATAACTTTTCTTTCTTTACTTTCTCTGCACCAGTCAGGATTTTATAGACCTCTAGCATATACCCCCTTTAGCGTCCTCTTTTCAAAGCTAAAAAGTCCCAGTTTTAATAATCTCTCCTCATATGGCAGCCTTTCCAAACCCCAAATTGTTTTTGTTGTCCTTTTCCGAACTTTTTCCTCTCTCATTGCTCAGAACGTCTCCATTTAAATAGTGTAACGATATAAAGGCCAGTCATTCTGCTTCATATTAGAATTGTTTTCTGTTACATGTATAAGAAACCCAACTGCATCCTATAAGGCTGAAAAACAAACAGGAGCATTTGTGGCAACTTGCCTTACATTGTAGGGTTAATATAAAATCCTAGAAGTATTTTTGTTTGTTCTGCTTGGGTAGTATTACAAATGGGATTTTCCATAGATGATTCTACAACTGCTTTATTTTTTCAATATTTCTACTTTTCCTTTTCTGGGGTATTTTTGTGGTGGGGGAGGGGACTGGGAGTGAGGAGTGGAGGTTGGTTTTAGTGAAGTTTAGTACTGAGTTTCAGCTTCTCCAGGGCTGGAGCAGTGGACAACTTCATTGGGAAGGGCAAGCTCTCTTCCTTTTTCCTGCCTTTGTAGCAGGAGTCTCTGCTCCAGCAGATGAGCTGCAGACCATCATTTGTGAACCCCTGAGTTAGAACATGATGATCAGAAAAGAAAACTTCTCTCCACTTGTGCATGATTGCATCTGTGAACCCAGGTCTGCAAGATCAGTGGCCAATGTAGTAACGTACTGTGCTTCCTTCCCCGCTCCTGTCATTTTGGATGTTACACCCTGATAGGCCAGCTGAACAGCAGTGCATTCGTTTGGCTGTCAGGTGAATGGCTGGAGTGAACAGCAGAGTAATTCGAAGACCCTGAATTAAGGAGAATGATTCAGAACACACTGCATGGTGTTCAAAGCCAGTGCATCTAATATTTGAACTGGGGAGTTTGGGGGGAGACTTCCAGGGCTCTGGGTTTGAACATGACAAACCCACTGTGAAGTGCAGCTAGAGCCGTGGTCCCCAGCCTGGTGCCTGCGGGGGCCATGGTGCCCGCCGGGCCCTTTACGTGCGCCCGCGGAGCAATCTGGGCTGGCCCCGCCCCCGGGCGTGCGGCAGGTGCCAGCCTCGGGCGCATGGCCGGCCCCGGCCCTGGGGGCGCCGTGCATGCCTGCACCGGCCCCGGCCGCGCGGAACCTGGGCAGCCCCTGCCGGGGATTGCAGCACATGCTGCTGCCAGCCTCGGGCGTGCGGCGCATGTTTGGCCCCGCCCCAGTCACGTGGCCGGTGAGCGGCCCCGCCCCCTTACACACAGCGTGTGTGCGGCCCCGCCCCCAAGTGCCCGGCAGCCCCAAAAGGTTGGGGACCACTGAGCTAGAGGGACCCAGAGGGGCATCCTCACTGAATCCTGCAAAGTTCCCAGCTAGCCACCCACTTACCATTTGTGGGTTGGATTGCTCTGCTCGTGCTTGGGTAGCTAGAATGATGTATGAATTGCAGCACAGGGCCCGGGAGTGTGTTACACTGGCCCCTTTCAAACACGTGCTCTTGCTGCTAGACCCCAGGCTAAATTCAGCCAAGTGAAGTTTGGAGAAAGCCAGAGCAAGCCCCATGGAAATCCAGATCCAGCAGTGCTGTAAATTCAGGAGCAAAGTACGGTAACTTGCACGGAGTTGGCACTCGGGGTGGGGTGTGTGTGTGCAGACTGAGTGACACATACGTGAACATGCCAAGGAACTGGGGGGGTGACACCCTTGAAAAGGTGGTTAATAGGTGGGCACAAAGAAAGAAGCTCACTTACTGTTAATGTAACGCATGCTGCAACCTCTCCAATACTCCCACGGCCAAACTAAGCTCCAGTAGCAATGAGCGCAACTCCTGTTGACTTCAGTAAAAAACTGACTCTCCCCCCCCCCACTTTGATATTTATGCTGCTTAGCCATGCGGCTGCAGACACTTAACTAGACAGTATTGGTAACCAAGGCTGGGGTTTTCAAAGAAGCCCAAGTTTCAGTGAAATTCAGTAAGAGTTGGGTGTGAATGACCCCAGCCTAAAAATGTAGCGAGTGCAAAAAGGCTCCCCTGTCTCTTTGCTCGCTATGCAAGCCTCCCGTTAGTGGGAGATCGGCTATGGCTTGAGGGTAGCATACAGTCCTATACATACATCCTGATCCACCTGCCGTCATTAAAAATGGAATTCAGCCTTCTCCAGAGAGTGAACTCGACGCAAGGGAAGCTGATAGACTGGCATCTTTGTAGGGACAGTTACGGTTATTCAGGTGTCTTGTTTGGACGGACTGCCTTAAATCTGCCTGGCTTATCTTTCTAGTGGTTGAAGGCTTTTATTCTGTACTCAAACCACTTATGTGTGTACACAGCCTTAACTACACCTGAAGTAAGTGTTTGTGTGGGAATTTTCAGAAACAACATACCACTTGTTTCACTGGAAAAAGTATCAGAGGGGATTCCCCTTGTGTTTCTGCAGAGTGCTGAAGTTTTGGCCTTTGTCTTTCATCTGGAGTAAACTCTCTACTTGTGAACAGTTGGGACACCGGCTGGAGCACCTTCAGCTCATCAGCAGCAACAAGAAGGCTCAGAACCAGACCCAACTAATGAGGTATGTGTGTGCGTGCGTGTGTGCATAAGCCCACTGTGACACCTGTCACCAACTGGAGCCTTCATAAGGCACCAACCAATTTCTTCTATAGATTTAAAGAAATTCATCCTCCTCTGGCTCTGGTACAGGTTGAACCTCTCTCGTTCAGAACTCTCTGGTCCAGAAACATCCATCATCCAGACTAATTTGTGTTAGCTGGATGTCTACTTTTCATGGGTGTGTTCCCATAGTCACATAAAGTTTGTTTACAGCCACCAGTCCTGGCTCTCAGTGTTCTGTGCTGTTATTTAGCTCTGATTAACCCCTAAATGTCTTCTAACAGCCCAGGAAGCAGTGGGAGTGTTGGTTATGCTGCTAGACAATGTTGACCTCCTGTGGTCTGGAAAATTCTCTCTTTTGGAACCAGTCAAGTCCCCAGGGTGCTGAGCCAGAGAGGTTCAACCTGCACTATCATACAGCTGATACTGAGGTTGCCACCCACTTGTTTTCTTGCATTGAATAGCAAGCTTGTTTTTTTTATCAAACAGGCATCTTGTTTTGTAGTAGTAATATGATGGTATGAGCAGGAATATGTGGGGTGGCTTTAATTTTTTGCAGAGTTGCAGTGAGGGACAGACTTTTTAATCCTGTTACTCTCGTCCTCATATAATCCCCTCTCCCTCCCCCTCCCCCCCCGAACACGTGCTGATGCCTCCAGAACACCTCTGCTACTGCTAAGAAACATTTCAGTTTCCATCCAGAAACTTAGTGTCAGTGACCTAGCCTGGGAAGCAGGACTGGGATGCACTGGCAGAGCTGCACAGGGAGACTTGCTCTGCAGTTCTGTAGAGCCTTTGCTTTCACGGGCATTGAATTAATAAGATGGGAGATAAAATCAAGGTCACATGCCAGGAGAGTAAGAGTATTAATCCCCACCCACTTAATCCCAGTGTTCTGAAGAGCCATCCTCTGGTAACTGACGCGAGGAATACCCACAGCTGCAATAAACATCAAACAGAAAAACCAAGCAAAAACACAACCCCACAGTGAGTAGAAGAGTGAGAGGCAAAGATCAGAGATGGCTGTAGATTCCTTAAGGCCATCACTGTGCAAATTAAGTGTAGTGTGTCGATACTATGGTCATGGGCTCCGGGGGAAACGCTTAAAATACACTAATAGATTTTAAGGCCAAAAGTAATACTGTGATTATTTAGTCTGATTTTGTGCACAACTCAAGCCATAGAATTTCATCCAGAAACTTTGGCAGCAGGGGGACGGGGAATTATTCTACCCTGCTATGTCAGTAAACATTATATAGCTCAGTGACTCGTGGTTTGAACTGAGGCATATCTTTTAAAAGGGCCTCTGACCTCCATTTTATACTCCAAGGGATGGTGAATTTATCAGCTGAATCCCAACATGGGCACTTACCTAACATTCCTCTTGGAATTTCAATCCAACCATTCACTTCCCCAGCGAAAACCTGTTGTTTTGCATTCTTACTCAGTATGGTTGCTGTGTCTGACCCAAGAGATAGCAGTATATTAATAATAGGAAAGCAACCCAGTCCCTGTTCTGTGTATAAAGAGTCTTGATGGCATTTAGAAACAAAAGGTGCCATGGAAATGAAGCTGGTGAGGATTGTTATCCAAACATGAAACAACCTTCTTCCTGTGCTCTAACTTTGTTCTTTTTCCTGAATGCAGGAAAGCCAACACCTTTGTTTCCCTCCTCGTTGACATGGCTCTGGGAATACTGCTCATGTCCTGGCTGTACAGAGAGAATCGGATTGGCCAGTTAGCGGACACCCTTATCCCAGTGGCTGATGTGAGTCTGGCTAGAATTGCTCATACTGTTCATCTCTGGGGTAGAAGGTGACCATCAGTTTGTACTTGTGCCTGTAGAGAGGCAGGGCCGGTGTGTGAGGATCTCATGCAGAGAAGAGAAACTTTCTGATTGAAGTCACAAAAATTAGGCCTCCTTACAAGTGATTAAATCTTCAAACTAAACCTGTTGAGACTAATCAACCACGGTGTTGCTGTCCTCTGCGTATCCAGTGCATACAAATGAGGAGTTTTCTAGAGGGCACTTCCTGCTCACAAGGTAACAGTTACATCATGGGCACAATAAATAACTCTGAGGCTAGAGAACAGAGCGCTTATCCACCTGGGATGTCTGTATTACAGAGTTAACGGGAAGTGCCTCAAGCTACTCTTCTAGTGTGGTATCTGGGAGAGGAAAAAAGAAAGAAAAATGTGAACCCAGTTAGGTCTCAGAAAGTAAACTGAGAAGGAAACTTTTGAAGCTGAGTCAGCTGACTTTAGGGAGAGCATGGTGGGGGTGAGTTCTCAGGGCAGTAGCCAGTCAGGGTAGGTAACACTGAAATGCTCTCTCAAGCGTGTTAATGACAGATTGGGGAAACTCCCCTCTTCCTGTGCCATTCTCCAACCTCAGGCCCTAACTGACCAAAGAATGAGCATGACACAAGGCACAAAGGACTTTTCTACAAGGCTAATTAGTGCGTGGCAGGCTAGTACACTATGTGTTCACACCCCAGCTTGCCGTGCACTAACGAGCCATGTAGCCAAGCCCCTAATCTAATATATAAAGGAGAATGTTTGTATGTTTGTGCACTAATAACTTGGACACTATAAGAGCTACTGCAATCAAACTTTGCATGGGATAACCTTTTATCCAGGAGAAGGTTTTAAGGGACTGTGGGAGGGAAGAGATGAGAGATGGATGCCTCTTCCCGGGGCTGCATGGAGCTTGGCAGTGCGGGGAGAAGTGGCTTCCCAGGGGAAGTGGCAGGGCCAGTCACTCACTAAGGCCGGCGGAGGGACAAGAAGGTGGAGGGCAGGCTCGGGCGCAGGTGGCAGGCGCACAGCTCCCTTCCCCCTCTCTCCCCTCAGGTTCCTCACCTCAGTTATATCAGCTGTCCCGAGCAATGCCAGGGAACTCCAGCTAGTTACTTGTATTCTAAATGTGTAACTTGAACATAGATGTAGGGATAATAAGGCACCTGCAACCTTCACTACAGTTTAACCTTTTCTTTGTTTGCGTCTTGGGAACAAATTGCATACCTGTTTGTGCGTAAATCATTGTTGAAGTAGAACTATACCTTTACTAGCTAAAGGACCACTTGTCATTGCAGAAAACCTCAAAATATGTGCATCCCTCTCGTGAGTTGCAACATTTGTGTTGTGATATTGTGTCAGTATGTGCTCGCTCATTTTTGGACTTAGCATTGTCACATGTCGATGAATACTGTGATAAGGCTGCACAGCATCATCCCTTCTCTTGGGTTTCTGGGGAAAAGGGACAGATCTTTCCTTGTGTCTGACCATGCCTCGGCTGCAGGAGTCCTCACTTACTGTCTCCAGCGTCTAGATGGGAAGAGGCGCCAGTCCAGCTTGTGAGGAATTCCATCAGCAACTTACTTTCTCCCTTTTGTCCACTTATTGGGAGAAGCTCACAGCTCCCCTGTGGTTGGTCCCTTTGCTCGCTGCTCCTCACACTAACAACATACTTGGCCAAACTAGTAGCACTTCTGTGATCATCTTTCTGCGTGGGACACAGCAAGCGAAGAGCCTGTCGTGCATTTATCATGCAAGAGCTGAACGTGGCTCATTGCAGTTGTCTCGTGGAACTTTCAAGGGGGGCTCAGTTTCAGCCACAAGGTGTTGCTGGGAAAGGGAGAGGAGATGGCTGGAATACAAGTCTCCCCTTCCAGTATTTGCAGTGGTAGGTTAATGGGAGAGACACGCTCAGACTCTTTATGCTCTCTTGTTCTGAAGTTTGTTCCCATGTGGAGATGGGAGGGCTGGAGGAGAACTTGTCCTCTCGCGTTCTCTGCAGTCTGATTTCTTAGCAGGTCTGAGAGGACGATGGCTTTTGGCTCCGTTCCCATGTGCACAGGTGAACTCAAGTATTCCATCTGCTCAGTGTCAGTGGCAGATGGACACTCAGTGCTCAAAGTGCATTGGACCACACCACCTGCCCTGGGTGGGGAAGCTGCCGGAATTACTCATTTTCTCCTCTTCAGTCATGCAGATACATCATTCACTCCCATGTAGAGGTTGCAGTGTCCATTACTTCCTTCTGGCCCTATGGTAGCTCAGAAACAGAGAGCTCATGTGCACCCAAGAGCGTTTGCCCTTCTCTGTTTGTCTAAGCTGTTGCTTTACTGCTCTGTCCATGATTATCAGAGAGATTTCATGCCATTACAATTTCCCCTTGCTTCAGGAACCTAGTTTCTTCTCTGTTGGCACAGAAAGAGCCCTCCAAAGTCATTGGGAGCTCTTTCATGGACTTCAGAGAGCACAGAGTAGGCATCAGGTGCTCATAAAAGAGGCAGGCTTGAGCCATCCAGAAATATCACCCTGGTGACTTCAGTGCATGTGGTGAAGCCAGCATCATTTTGTTTTCTAATATGACTGTAAGATCCCCTCTGCTCCATCCTCCAGTGAAAACAGCAAGGAGGACTAACAAGCTAGCTACAGCATCTCCATCTGGCATGCGTTATTCCCCGCACTTGAGCTCTGGCAAGCTGGCTAAAAGTTGCCAAGTTTGGTAATAAAAACTTTCCCAGTGTTTTTGATTATTATGACTTTTCCCGTGCTCCATGCTATCCTATTTTTGATATATGCCCTGGGTCGACTAATGCCATTGGTCTCTAGGCATCTTGCATCAAGACCACTTAATCTGTTTCCACAGTTCCTGGCATGCAAGAAGAGAGTTTGCTTCAACAGATTTGATATGAGCAAACTTTAAGCTGCGTGGGAAGAAATGCAGTGTATAGTTTTCCTTGCTTTCTCCTTTTGATTCCATTCAGCATAAGCCTCTTCTCTCCTGCCTCTCTCACTTCTAGAGACCATGTTGTTGCTCGTCTCTTCTGTTGCATGTTAATTGGAATTTAACCAGCTTACTCTAGGTTAGACTTGCCAAACCTTCCATCCCTTCTGTGACAAAATGCGCCCTTGTATTCACATCTGACAGGCTACTGGAATGTCTGTGTACAAGACACGCCTTGAGAGTATCATTTGAAATCTTACAACTCGCTCATCAGTAACCCAGTGGTAAAATGCATGTAGAAACATTATGTGTAGAGTTGTGAACATACTCTGACATCATGTCTGAGGTGTGTTTCCCCGATAAGTTAGGGAAATGGCTGAACCGATTTCTCTAAGACAAAGGGCAAGCTGATGCCCCAGCCAGGTGTCCGCAAAGCTGATGGATTATCAATAAAGCCCTGCACAGATACAAAATTTGTATCTGCATCTATATCCATGAAAAGGAGCCATTGATATCTGTGGATGCTGATAGCCACACATTTGCAGGGTTCTGGATACAAAATATGTATCCACATCCATAAAAATGAATTGCGCATATCTGCATCCACATCTGCGGATGTGGATACCCACGAATATAAAGTGGATGTCCACAGATTTGCAGGGCTAATTATCACTTATCAAGTGGCCATTGTTTGGCACAGAAGAGGGGCAGGGACAAAGAGCTCTGCATCTTAGCAAAGAAACAACATGAGATCTCCTTCCTCCACCAGCTCCTCTTGTCCACAGCCCATCTCTTGGTTCTTGGCCTGAAATGCTTTTCAGGGGAGGACTGACGCTATAAAAAGGAAGGGCAAACACCCCAAGAGACCCTTCCTCTCTCTCCCTGTCCATCTCACTCTTTGCACTTGGGAAGACAAAAGAAGCAGCAGTTGGACTCTGGAGGAGGGGGTCTGCCCTGAAGTTTGGTAAGACTGTTGGAAGCATGTGGCGAGAAACTTTCCTATGAATCTAGTATAGTTTGTCAGGCACTAGAATGCATTTAATCTTTATTTTCTTGTAACCGTTTCTGACTCTCCTACCTCATTGCTTGTACTCCCAGGCTCTTTGTAGTTAATAAACTTGGTTTGGTGTTTTATGTAATCCAATGTGTTTAAGCTAAAGTGTCTGGATAACTTCACTGAGAGTGGCAAGCTATGTGTATATTATTCTCTTAAAGGAATAATGGAGTTAACGTATTTGGACTGTCCTGGAGGGGGCGGGCAGTATAAAACAGTAGTTCCGGAGAAAATCCAGGACTGGGACTGCACGGGGACACTGTGCCATATGACAAAAGCTGGTGAGAGCCAGTGTGTGACTGGCAGGCTGCAGTTCCACAAACATGTCTGGGAGGGACCTGCATGCTGCCAGGCTGTGTGTGAGCAGTCCATGTTGGAAGCTACAAGAGTCAGGCATTGCACAGTACTGCAGGTTGTAGGACAAGGGTGACAGCCCCCCACTGGTCTGGCTTGCACCCCAGTACATCACATCTTCCCACGCGCCCTGTCTGTAGAGACTGAAACAATAGATACGTCACTTTCTCCTTTTCCAGCTGCCAGCACTGAAAGCCCAACCTGCTGTGAGGAAATCCAGCTGCGCACCTCCCCCTTCATTCAGCATCCCCAGGGGTAGTGATTCTGAAATCAGCATTTAGCTGGCAATTGTCAATAATGCACAAGGCCTCATCGGCTTCAGTGCCCTCTGTCACAGCTTGACTAGCTGTGCAGTGCTGCCTATAATTACAAGCTGCTTTTGCCAGTGAAAGAAGTGGCTGTGATTCAGAGACAGCTAAGCAGTAGCTGTGTGCAGTACAAAAGGCCGGCCTTGGAGTCAGTTGTCAGAATGCATAGTGGAAAATAACCTTTCTTAGTTCCATATCTGCCCTCGCCACCTCCTCCACACCTTCCTCCTCCTCTGCTCAACACAAGCATCTCTGCTGGCAGCTCCCGACTGCCTGCTTCCAAGCTTCCCCTTCCCTCAAAAGCCTCACGCTGATCTACACTAAATCCTCTTCCCTGCTTGCAAAAAACCCAAAGCCTTCTCACTGCTCACCTTCTGTTTGAAGTGTTGTGGTTATAAAGGCCAATTCCCCCATGCTGTCTAGGTTCTCTGTTTGTTTTGCTCATGCATTTGAACTGCAAGCTTTTTGGGACAGACCCCTGTTGATTATTTGTCACAGATTGTGCCCCAGTTACACCATGCTGAATATTTCCCATGCTATGTTAGCGCTAATTGACCTAATCTTGAGTCACATTTTAAAACAAGTCCCTTGTCAGTCATATTCTGCTAATCCATAAATAAAATGGGGGAAAGATGTTGGCTTGGTAATTATTATTTCCTAGTTGTAGTCCAGCAGTGCCTAGAAGCCAGCGCCTGTTGTGCTAGGCACTGAACTTATAACGTATAGCTTTTGAACATCTACGGTTTGCTATGAGTTTTATGAAACCACGAAGGATGTAAAATCCCGCTTAACTGGTTAAATGTGATGTTTAATTGGTTAACTGATAAAAGGGAGGGAAGAAGGGTAGGCGGGCAGGAGCAGGCCTACTGCTGCAGGCAGGGGCTGCTCCAGCCTGGCCAGAGCAGCCTCTGCCTGCGACACAGCCAGGCCCGCAGCGGACAGGGGCTAGACACCGCCCATTAAGAGCTCTTCCTCGCCTCTCCATGTGCCCTGCTACCTATCCCAAATGGGATGGCATTCTCCTTTGATGCCTAACTACCGTCAAAGTCTCTGTGGAGAAGAACAGCTGCACTGCACTTAAACAAGAAAGTCATTCCAGAGTGAGCTGATCTAAGCTGCTTTTGCTGTGTTCTCAAGGTTGGGGATGCTCCCACAGCACCTTAATGAAACTACTTCCATGTAACGCACTGCACACGTCTATTAATAACTGGCACATTCAGTATTAATGACTGCAGCTAGAGGATTGGTCTCTTAAAGTCGTGTGTTTTAGTCTGTTTCTTCTTGCTGTCCATCAGCTCTAAAGCATTTCACAGCAACAAAAAAAACAAACAAAAAAAAACCCATAAGAGGCGACACCCTAGGGCCGACAAAGCAACAACAGCCATGCCATCGTGTAGGAACGCTCAGCAAATGCTCAGGGTTTAACTACAAACTGGAGTCATCTAAGGACTTTGGTAATTTTCCGTACCAGAGAACAGCCTTGGACTGCTCTCAAACATGTAAATATTTAATTAAAATTAAAAAATCCTTTTGCTAAGCTACAGCTCCGACGTTTTAAATATTCACAGAACTCTATTTATAAAGTATCTGGCACTTCTTTCTCACCAGCGAGGCCAGATTCATTGGTACAAGCCAGCCCTGCCTTGCAATAAAAGTGTTTAGGGGTGTTAGGGCAAAGGAGAGTGGATGAGATTAACACACAATCCAGGTGGCAAGGAAAATGGTGTTCATATTGAAAATGTTATCTACTACTGAACTAAAAGTATGTGTGGCTGTTCTGTGTATAAACTCAGCAATGTCTTTGTGACTCTAGGATGAATAGATGTTATACACATGCATCTTTGGGGAATTAGGTCCATAATCCATCAGTTCTAAGGCACCAAATCTAGAGTCACCAGCATGATCCATCATTGTAGGTATATGTTTGGCTTTGTGTGCGATTTAGGCACCCAACTTCCTTAGGCTTCCCTTCATTGATGCAAAAGTGTTTTTTTACATCGAGGTAACTAACATGTGATAGTTCTCTTGTGTACCAAATGGAAACACAGCACTTGCAATGTTTACTGCAAGATTACTAGCTGAGATTTGCACTATGCCCCCCTCCCATAGCTGACCTCACCTAATTTATCTCATGGAAAGCAATACATGTGCCTTGTCACTACTGTGGTTTATTTATTTATTTTTTTACAGTGGGATAACTACACACTCGGCTTTCCCTTGAGATATTTTTTTACTCCCTGCCTTTTCTTGTCTCCTCCCCTCCCAATTTTCCCTTCTTCCTATTTATTTTGGTCCTAGACATCCACTACTCCAGTCATCTAAAGAAGTGGGCTGTGCCCATGAAAGCTCAAGATACCATCTACATGTTTTGTTAGTCTATAAAGTGCTACCAGATTATTTGTTGTTTTTTCAGTTTACCTGTACAGACTAACTTGGCTACCCCTGAAGCTTCTACACACCTTTTTGTCAAGGAAGAGAGAGGCTGGGATTTTCAGAAGAGTTTGAGGCTGTTTGTATAGCATTCTTCCTCAGACAGATTTCTCCCTCATCTTAACAATTTGATTATCTCTAATATGTGTCACTTTGGGTAGCCAAAGTTTACTTAGCTCTCAGGAGTGATCAAGACCTCAGGAGATCCTTCTGTGAAAATCACCCTGGTGGTTGTTCTCCTGCAAAGGGTTTGTCAGAAGCACAATCTGACTGAATTTCTGACAAGGCTTCTAAGGGGATCCTGTTCTTAGGTGGTAGTATCTTAGGCTATGTCTACACAGCTATTCTGCATCTTAAGAAGAGCAAGCCCGTTACATCTAAATCGAATGGGCTCGCTATTCCAACATCCCTGTAAACCTCATTGCACGAGGGTTAAGGGATGTTTCAGAATAGCACCTTATTTTGGAAATAAGATTGAAATAAGCTAAGTCATTTGCATAGTGCAAATTGTGTAGCTTATTTTGAGGTAAGGGTGCTGTGTAGACACACCCTGAAGGTTCAGAAAGGGGTCAGTGACTCATCATGAGGTATATTCTATTTCCCATGTAACTCCTATAGTATTTTTTATGTCTCTGCAAGAGTTTTTCTCCAAAGGTTTTCGAGGAGTGGTGAGATTTTTTTCAGAGATGTCATTTGCACGTGGGGGGAGCTCTGCATGTACAGTGTAATAGCTTTCTGTTGATTAAGATTGTTTGTCTCCTTATGTTGGCAGCACATAGCCAAAGAGCTCCAGGACCTGCTTCAGTGGCTAATGGGTGTGCCAGCTGGTTTAAAAATGAACCGGGCTTTGGACCAGGTGTTGGGCCGGTTCTTCCTTTACCATATTCATCTGTGGATTAGTAAGTGCTATTGTTTAACCTTTCATCTTTCCTTCTCATTTCTCCCTGCCTACTCTCTAAGATTGTCAGACTGTTGTATGATGAATCAAAATTGATCTGGCAAGGACACATTTTCTGGTCTGGGAACATGAGCCAAATTCGGATTCATAGAATCCACACCGGGAAATGATGCAAAATAAGTCCTGTACTCAGCTAGTTACTTGGCAGAAAATAAAAGACAAAGTGGAGCTAATTTATTTGGTACCAGTAATGGTTGCTGTCCAAAAGAAGGTCCAGACTTTTTCATCTGCCTGACAATGGGTAGTGCAACAGCATGGTAGTGGGGAAATCTTATTTGTGGTTGAAGTATAGCACCTGTCCTGTAACTGACTTTAGTTTAGTATTCACGATTTCAAACTATCTCGTGCCTGCATTCTTCCCCAACCTTTAAATGGAATCTCACTGGTCATAAGGGTATTGTTTTATGTTGGAAAGTAGACACATTGGTCACAGAATCCTTAGTAACTGAGCAGACGGAGATAGTCAAATGAATTAAGCAGAGCTCTGGTTTTCCAAGGTTTCACCCTATCTCAATGGTGATCAGAGAAGCTTCATGCCACTAAAAATGTTGCACAGACCATTTTCACAACTACTTTGTGGTGGTTTCTGTTGGAGTAGGAGATTTTGGTGCAAATGTATCAGTCATGGATCAGTACGGTCCTGAAAATGTTACCCGGGAAGACAGAGGAATAGCAAGATGGCCTTGTCTGGGCAGGCTGTTAGGTGTCTATGTGTCTCACTAAAACTACCACTCCTAGGATGAAAGGGATGGTATTTATCAGCCATTGTAGATATAAAATGGCAGTCTAACAGAATTTGCTGCTTTTACTTTCATATGATCTCACTTATGATCTCTGCAATGGCTTTCTGTGAGGGGTGGTGGGAGAGAGACGCTGAGGCTATCCAGAGTTTCATCTGAGACTCCAGAGGGCAATTGAGATATCCTTTGTACGCTGTTACTCTTCCAACTTCCCCCAGGCTATATCCACCTGATGTCTCCATTCATCGAAAGGATTCTCTGGTATGTTGGCCTGTCAGCCTGCCTGGGCCTGACTGTGATGCTCTCCATTCTCTCCGACATCATTGCCCTCCTAACCTTCCATATCTACTGCTTCTACGTCTATGGAGCCAGGTGGGTGGATTGGGCCTGTCGAGAAACAAACGTCGTAGTGGGCCTAGATGGTCTCTGGTGTGACCCTGTTGATTTAACAGGGGCAAAACCAAAATTAGTTAGTTAGGCCAATTACATTGTGTCCTAGTGATGGAGGCTCAGCATTGAGCGATAAAAGCACCCACATGTAAGTATCTTCCCCCTTTTGACAGTGGTGGTTACAAAAGTAAAACTAAGCTGAGGAGTGGAGTGAGAGAGATCAGTTTGTCCAGGAGCCCTAGATCTGAGGAGATAACTTGTCCTTAAGGCTGCTCCAGAAATGACCTCTCTGGCTAAGTTTGCCAGCCCTCTGGGTTGTCCTGGAGTCTGCAGGACTTAACCTCTAATTAAAGATTAATCTTTATGTCGTGTGAGGAAACCTCCAGGGATACATCCAACCAGAATTGGCAGCCCTACCTCTCCTTTGCTTCAGAGGACTGCATCCCTACCAAGTAACCTGGCTGGATTTTCAACGGCCACCCTCAGCTTGCCCAACTTTGTGGTTAAATTGCCACTGTATTACTCTTTCTGCCCCACTAGAGGGCCATGTGCACTTTACAGTCACAGGAGAATGGGTGTGACCTGGGGAGGCCAAGGATATGGATGCAAATGGCTGATGCTCATTCTGCCTTTCATGTCACATTCTACACTAGGTATGTCAAAGCTGTTCTTGACAGAAGAATTCAGAACAAATATGTTCTGCTGATGATCTACATTGACACAGGGGCATCCTTCACATCACAAACTGTGGGGAGAATAGCAGCCTTAGAGAGGAGACAGACTAGCTGAGGGGAATAAATAGGGAAGCTCCTGCCTAACCAGTGTAGACACGGCATTCTCCCAGCGGTACAGCACATGGTGTAGGGGCAGAAGGAGGAGACTACCAGGTAAAGTTTGTGCATAATGCTGAGCATGGTTAGAGGCAGAGAGATGTCTAATTTAAGAATCTGACTGCATAATTAAAGAGCAACGGCCTAATAGCAATATTGCCTAGTAGGAAGCTCATCCAAAGAGCTCTCTTGCGTGAAATCTCTCCTGGCTGTAGAGAGTGCATGAGGTTCTTTGTTCCTCTCAGGGAGGGCACAGAGCGGGTGGAGGTGAGGAAAACAGAAGTTCCTTCCATGCCAATCACGTTCATCTTGTGGGCTTTGGCATGCCAGTTTACAGGGCTCGTGCGTCCCTGTTACATGTATAGTTACACATGACACTTCATCTTGAGGCCTGCAGCAAGCTCACTCAGCTGTGGAGAATGACCCCAGCGGGCGGAGAGTGGGGAGCACCCAAATAATAAAATGATCACACAGTCCTGGGAATGGAACAACAGGGAGGAGAATTTCTCTAGCAAATCAGTGCTCTTTAAGGGTATGTCTACACTACATGCCTTTGTCGGCTCAGCACGACAGCCATGTAAATGTAAATGAAGCCGCGATTTAAATGATCGCGGCTTCATTTACATTTACATGGCTGTCGTGCTGAGCCGACAAACAGCTGATCAGCTGTTTGTCGGCTCAGCACGACAGCCATGTAAATGTAAATGAAGCCGCGATTTAAATGATCGCGGCTTCATTTACATTTACATGGCTGTCGTGCTGAGCCGACAAACAGCTGATCAGCTGTTTGTCGGCTCAGCACGACAGCCATGTAAATGTAAATGAAGCCGCGATTTAAATGATCGCGGCTTCATTTACCTTTGCTGAACAAACAAATCTACATGCCTCTGCCGACAGAGGCATGTAGTCTAGACACAGCCTAAGTGGCAAATTGAGTGGCCAAGGAAATGCAGAGTTCTTGGGGTCTGTTTCCAAGGTAGGCACATGGTGAATAAATGGCACCTAGCATTCCTATGCAGAGAGACCCAGGAGGTGTGTCAGGTGATTGCTGGACTGGCATGTGCAGTCTCAGTCAAAGGAATGAAACAAGGTGCAATCCAAGGAGTGTCGCTGTAGGTACATAAAGGTTGAGTTGTCCTGGGAACACGGCGTGCTGTTCTGAGCTTTTCTTCCAGCCCCATAGGAGCATCATGCCAGTCTTTGTGCTGCGTGCTCCTTTCAGCTCTTTTCCTTCTGTTTTCTGAAACTCCGCGCACTCACTTCCACAAGAGTGGTTTCGGGTTTTATCTGATTATGTATTTTAATTGCACTTATAAAACGACGTTAAAAGACTATTAGGTTTGCAGAACCAAGCACTCACAAGTTAGGAAATGCCAGAGTAAAGGTTGTCCGAGAAACCCTTGTGCATATGAATGAGAATAAACTCTTTACATGATCATTCATAATAATCCCTAGCTCTGGTACAGTGCTCTCCATCAGCAGATATCAGTAGATTGCATTTCCAAACCTTTAATGTGTTTATCATCCCACCCCCCAGGGAAGGAAGGAACTAGTGGTATCTCCATTGTACAGATTGGTACTAGGGCGCAGGAAGATTAAGGATCTTGCCCAAGGTCACTCAGAAAGTCTGAGGCAGAGCAGGAAATTGACCCCAGGTCTCCCAAGTCCTAGGCTAGTGCCCTACCTGCTATTTTTTCCCTGCCTCATTCAGTGCACAGGCTGGACGCTGACCAAGCAGGTATTCAGTATTTTGTTTTATCTCATTGGCCAGTGGGTTGTCTCCTCGTGAATCTGTGTGACTTCAGCGCGCTCATGCCCTGCCCCTACTGAACTGAGAGCGTATGTGTAGCAATGGCACTTGCTTTGTGGTCAAGATGGAGATTGCTTGGTTCTAATTTGTGGTGTTGCTCCCCTTGGCACAGGCTCTACTGCCTGAAGATATACGGCTTGTCATCTCTGTGGCGCCTGTTCCGCGGAAAAAAGTGGAACGTTCTGAGACAGCGGGTGGATTCCTGTTCCTACGACTTGGATCAGGTAGCAGCAGAGCATCTAGGAGGTGCTGTAATACACCCAGGCCTCAAAGTCCTGCAGCATGGCCTGATCTTGCTTCATTTAATACTGGTGTTCAAGCCACCAGCTGCTCCGTTATAGCCAAACAGAGTACAGCTCAGCACAGTTGACTACATGGATCCTCAAGCAAATTCTTGCCAGGTCTGCTGTACGCACGTCCATCATTCCTCCCCGTGTTCAAGGGAACCTATCCTGGGAAGTGCTGGGCAGCCCTCGCACTGTCAGGGAGCATTGCAGAGGCTCACCACCTCTCGGGAAGGGGAGAGGAGTGCATATGTGGGAGGGAGACAATTTAAATAATTATAGTGGTGCCCAGCAGTGTTGCCATAGTAACAGGCTTCTTAGTGTTTCTATTAAAAGATCCTGTTTTGTTCACATTGGGTTGGAGCTTGGCCCACACGTTTTCACCAGGATGTGGAAAACATTTTTCTGGAATAGTGCTAATCTGCCTTTTAAGCTCTCTAATGCCACAGAAAGTGGGGAAGAGCCAGTCTGCTCTGGCCTGATTTTAAAAGAACCATATAAATGGCCCTGTCACGCTATTTTATATTGTCACTTGCCTTGAGCTTGAGGATTGCAGGTACAAAGATAAATGCACTGAGAGGGCAGCTGGCTTCAGTGCAGCATCTGACCTGGCCTTGGTAATCTCTGCTGAAGTGCTGTTTGGTAACTTCCAGGGCCAGTGCCTCTCACAGAGTTGCAGCAGATCATCTGAAGCCTTTTACACAACCCTAGAGGAGCAATTTCTCCTCTTTTCCCCCTGACAGTAGAGGAAGACTGTGTTAGAAGGGCTGCATGCGCTAGGGCAGGGTTTCGCTCATTGTACATTGATGATAATGTGTTTGGCACTAAGAGCCTCGTTCTGACATTGAAGCTAGTGGGAGTTTTGTCATTGGCTTCTGTGGGAACAGGCTTTCAAAGCACAGACGTGAGAAGACTTTCTGAGATGCTAATACATGCTGATTTTGCTAAGTAATGGGGGATGGGTAGGAGGGGAACCCAAGCTGCCAATGAGAAGTCGGTCAGAAGAGAGCTCTCGTGTATTTCTGGTTATATGCATAAATCCATGGTGTCAATCTGCCTGTGGGTGCCGTGCACTGTACCATGGCCATGTTGTCTTTCTGAAGAAATGATGGTGCATTATTTTCCTGTCCGCTCCCTGGTGTGGGAAATGGAATGCAGTGGTAAAAAGCCAGGTTGGAGTTGTGTTGGGTTATGGCACCAGATTGTATTTTTTTTTTTCAAAAAATAGAAGCATTGAGGAATGTGTAATGGAGGCACAGCTGTTGGGCTCTGGTGTCCTGCTGTACGGCACAGAGTGCCAGGAGAGCAGGGGTGGGCAATATAATGGAGGCAGTTCGCCAGGTTTGCCCCTAACAGACCACCGCGGCTTCATTTATCTGCGCCTCCGCAGGTGTGAGTGCTTTCAACTCCCATTGGCCATTGATTGTCGTTCCCAGCCAATAGGGGCTGCAGGAAGCAACACGGACCAGGACCCGCAGCTCCCATTGGCCAGGAATGGCAGTGTGCAGCCAGCAGGAGCTGCAAGCAGCCATACATGCAGATACACAGGTAAATACGGCAGCAGCTGGAACTGCATCCTGACCACAAGCTGGTATTTGCCCACCCCTGCATAAGAGGGAGCCTTATTTAAAACAAAAAAAAACCCCAAAAAAACCCCAGGGAAGATTGTTTATTGACGGAGGCTCACTGGCAGAATTCAGAGTATTCGAATATTACTCACCAGCAAGGTGGTGTGAGGGGCCTGTGGCATAGACTAACCACTTAATGCTGTCTAAAGTTCTTGTGCCAGTACTCTGCTAACATTGGTTTGTTGTATTTTTTTCTCCAGCTATTTATTGGCACTTTGTTATTTACAATCCTGCTGTTTCTTCTGCCCACGACTGCACTATATTACCTGGTGTTCACCCTGGTAAGATTCAACCCTTAGAGATGGTCACATCTCCTTTACATGTATGAGTGAAGTATAAAAAAGATTCCTTGTTCTCCCCCCCCAGCCCCCATTCACGTACAAATACCATATTCTTATGACTGTCCTAGGAACGGTTTTTGTTCCCAGACCATGTGGACCAAGCTGCTGGAATTCAGAATACGCACTTGTAATTCTCTGAAGGCAATTCCCAGAGAATCAGAGTCATCAGGACCTATTCCACTGTCTTTTCCCTGCAGCCTTGTTCAATCTTCTCCCCTCCCCCCATTTCCTGGAATGGCTGCTCCTCTGGTTTGACCCAGAACTTTTCCATTGGGAAATTAGCCTTTTCCATTCAAATCTCCTTGGAAGGCTTTGGAGAGGGAGTTGAACTCTTGCCAATCTGGCTGGTCCTTTCTGAGGCATGGAGGCACATTTTTCCACTAGTGGCTGGAGCCTTTACATAATTGTAGCCTCCCCTTTGAAGCGGAGAAGGGTAAAAATAGAACAGGACTCAAATGAGTTTGACAGAAAAAATGATTGTAAGACAAGAGGAGGTGCTCAGATGAGCAATGGCAAGGGGCTGTGTGAGGATACAAAGCAGAGAATTCATCTCTCACTGATGTGCTCCTGCTGACATGTTTGGTAAAGGGATTCTTCAGTCACAAGCTATTTCTAGAGACAAGGCAGCTGCTAGACAGCGAAGGATGCCACTGGGCTCCCCACGTCAGCCTTCGATATGCCGGCCTGTTCCCTGAAAGTAGCATGTAGCACACACTTTTGCAACGGGCACCACGGTTACTGTTCTAGACCCAGGGCAGAATTCTCACGGAGCCTGAGTGACACGCTGGGTACTTAGTGCTTTCTGGAAATCCGACCCTTCAGAGATACCACAACTTGGAACCCCCCACACTACTAAGGCCTGGACTCCCTTCTGCTATTGTTAACCCGACTGTTTACCGCCAAGTATCAGAGGGGTAGCCGTGTTAGTCTGAATCTGCAAAAGCGACGAGGAGTCCTGTGGCACCTTATAGACTAACTGAAGTGTAGGAGCATAAGCTTTCGTGGGCAAAGACCCACTTCGTCAGGACTCCTCGTCGCTTTTGCTTACCGCCAACCTGCCTGTTTACACATCTCACTGTTTCTTTTAGCTCCGTCTGCTGGTGGTGGTTGTGCAGGGCCTCATCCATCTGCTTGTGGACCTTATTGACTCCCTGCCTCTTTATTCAGTCATCCTTCGGCTCTGCAGATCCTACAGACTTGCAGGTTGGTTCTGCACCACCACAGCACACATTTGCATTCACTGTAGTATTGTGAATGTCTTGATCTAATGCACAGGTAGCTTATTGCACTGAAAGATGCTCCGCTTGCTAATGCAAAAGCCATACAGGACCATTAACCACTTACCCTAAGAAGCCCGATGAGGAAGTCAGTGGATACTAATGTGAGGCTAATGCTGAGTCATGGGCAGCATGGGCACTGGAATCAAAGTGCCCTTCTGCCATATAGCTTATTTAGAGCAGAATAGGCCAGCTGGGTCAAGTAAACAGGGACTGGTCCAAGCCTCAGATTCTCTGCTCTTCAGATAAATTAACTTCTGCTTTTCCCTTTAATTTTCACCCGTCCCTACGTGGCTGGGAACCGAAGTATAGCTACCTCAAGATACTCTGTTCTTCAGAAAGGTTAGACCCTCAGCTGGTGTAATTGGAATAGTTGCATTGACTCAGATGGAGTGATGCAGATTTACATTAGCTAAGGATCTGCCTGGGGCTTCTAGCTTAATTTCAGAGCCACAAACGCTGCATGTGTTTCCGACAAACCTCTGCCTTTTTTAATTTAACTTCCACCATTTCAAAGTGACTTTCTGCCAGGCCACTGGCAGCCGTTTTCGCAACCTGGCTAAAGGATCCCATTGAAATGGGGTTAGCTGAAAACAGAGATCACTCCGCCAATATAAATCCAGCAGCCTAGACTGCAAGGCCCAAGCTAGTTTAAGAATTCTAAAAGCAAGAGACAGTGTGAAGAGCTTGATCATCGCCAGTCATCAAATGGAAAGGAAGCCCCGGCTGCTAGAGAGGTGCAGGCCCAGCTTTGGGAGTGAAGGTGGGGAATGCTCTGGACTGTGTCCGCGGGGCTCCATCTCCTGACTTGCAGAAGTTCTCAGCCTGGTAGGAGCTGTCATTGTGAGACAGGAAATGTGGCTGGAGAAAGTCGTCCAGTAAACAGCAAGTGATTAATTAGAAGGAAATTGATATTGATAAATAATCAATAAAAACTCCTCTATGCTATCGTCTGGCCTTTGAGATGAAGGAAAATGGAAGTGCATTAGGACCCCTCTCCGGGAGGGCCATAAAGGGAGGTCATACTTTACGCTTTCTGTGGTCTGTGAGCTTGCTCCCCACCCCCCCAACTTGGTACAGGGAATGTCTATGGAGAATATATCATAGTTTGGACCTTCTGTCTTCCCGGTTTGACTTTCAGGTACTGGGGGATTTAATGAGTCCTGGAGGGAATATAGAAGTGAAAGACTAGAGTGGCAGCTGCAGCTCAATAGCATGCTGAAAATGTATGAATGCCTTCATTGTGATCAATAGTCATTGATTGTTCTGAATTTACTCAAATGCCTTTGTGTCCTCTGCTATCGCAGGCCTACCCCCACTTAACTGGAAAGCAGCTGGGAGACCAATACATGTAGTGGTGGTGGAGAGGGCAGATAAAGGAAAGTTATTTATTAGTTCCCATAATAGACGAACTAGAAGACACCAATTGGAATTAATGGGGAGCAGGTTTAAAACTAATAAAAGAAAGTTCTTCACACAGCGTGTAGTCAACCTGTGGAACTCCTTGCCAGAGGAGGTGGTGAAGGCTAGGACTATAACAGAGTTTAAAGAGAAGCTAGATAATTTCATGGAGATTAGGTCCGTAAAAGGCTATTAGCCAGGGGATAAAATTGGTGTCCCTGGCCTCTGTTTGTCAGAGGCTGGAGAGGGATGGCAGGAGACAAATCGCTTGATCATTGTCTTCGGTCCACCCTCTCTGGGGCACCTGGTGCTGGCCACTGTCGGCAGACAGGCTACTGGGCTAGATGGACCTTTGGTCTGACCCAGTATGGCCGTTCTTATGTTCTTATGTAGAGTAGCCACATGAACAGTGACTAAAGGGGAGATTTCTGCCCCTCGCTTACCTGGGGTAGGTGTTCCCTCTTTCTAAAGGGCTGCTGGGCTATTCTCGATCCCTGTAGTCCCCTTGCTGTGAGCAGTCCTAGCTGGATGACTGTTAGGCAGTCCTGTCCAACTAATTGAGCCAAGTAGAGAATGGAGCCTGGTCTCCATCATGTTTTGTTTGTTTTTCAGCGGGTGTGAAGTTCAGAGTTCTTGAACAGAATGCTGGAAAACCCCTTCGACTCTTAATGCAGGTAAATCATGTGCTGCCTGGTGCTCACTCTTCTGTCCTCTGCCACCAGGGCTACCCTAGATTCTGACTGCTTCAAAAAGGGCTCTGCTAGTTCTTCCAGGGTGGAGTGCAGTGAGATACTGCGGTGGGGGAAAGTACTTCACCTCCTGCTGCAGTCTGGCCCTCCTGGCTCATGTGCCTTGCCTTGTAACTGGCTTGTAATGAAGCACTATACATAAGCAGCAGCATACTCTGTTACAAAATGAAACTTGACTAGTTGCAAGGATGGCACATCACTTGTGTTCATAGCCTTCTCTCTCTGCCCTTCTGACTGCAGCTGTGCCTTGAGAGAGGCAATAAAGGCTGCCCATTTCCAACCAGAGTGGCTACCAGTTAAGGGGAACCAAACCCCAGCTCTAGTGAAGGGGCCTTCTCTTCCAGACAAGCTGATAAGCATGAGCTACCCAACACCCCAGTCAGCTTGGTTCACTGTAGACAGGGAAAGGAGATGGGAAGTGTTCTTCGTTTTGTTTTGGGATCGCCCTGTGGCGAGGAGTCTCCTCCTCGCTGGTTTTCAAATCTTTCTCCACCCTCGAAGGAGGAGGTGTCCAAGAGAGGCTTTTCTGAACATGGGCTGAGGTGGCCACAGATCATTTCTCATTGAATGCAGGAGCAATTTGGGGGCTTCCATTCCCTGATTCTGGGGGAACCCATCACATTAGGCAGGTGACTTGCTGTTTGCAGGGCTAGTCCATTCCTGCAGTATAACCTGCTGGTTAGTAGAATAGCAGGAAGCAAGACTTGGGACACCGATGGGCCAGTTTCTTTGCTGCAGCTAAGACCTACTCAGTGCAGTAGAAGGGGGCCATCGAGAAATCAGCTACAGCTCATCTATACTTTCATCTGGTTTCACTCCCGCTCTGCCATCTCCGCATAGCTTAGAGCAACCTGGAGCTGCTCTGATCTTCACCAGCTGGCAACAGGTCTGCAAGTACCATCCACCAGCGGGGCAGAGCATCCTTCCTGTTCCCTCTGGGGGCAGAGCATCCTTCCTGTTCCCTCTGCTGGGGTCGGGGATGGCATAAGAGCCAGCTGTTCTGACCCCACTCACAGGGCTCTCCCTAGCAGTTTCTACTCTTCGTGCCACTGGAGAGGTGCCAAGACAGTATGGCGGGCCCAAGGGTCGTGGCATGGTGGTGGCTGCTCCATGAGTTAGCTGGTGAGCAGAGTTAGAGCTTGATTGATGGGCGCATCACAGGAATCTTCCAAGAGGCTGGCACTAAATGTATCGAGAGAGGCTCAGAAAGGCCTAGATAGACATCCCATGCGTGTCCTGGTCCCTCCAAGGTCGACAGACAGTAAAGGGGCCATTCTGCTGTGTGGGGATGAGGGGGAAAGAGGCGTAATGCCAAACAGGCCAGTGGGAGAAGTCTGGTGGGCCTTCCCAGGCTTGGCACCATGGAAATCTGGAAAGCCTGTTGTGACACACATTGAAATTCACACTGTGACACGCTGAGCCTCAGCATAGCAACTCGGCTAGGTCTGACCCCCAGTTCCAGGCGAGGCTTGTCTCGTGGCATCTGCCCACTCTCCCCATGTGCCTCATTACCCTGCGGAGCAATGCTTCCCCACACTGCGCCCGAGGGGAGGAAGTCTGTGGGTGGATAATTGCACACACATACAGAATGTGAGACCTGGATGACTCTCCCTGTCTCTGGGCACGAAGCTGATCTAGGTGACAGCATACCAGTGTCACAATGGAATAAAAATGAATCTTGAGATGGTTTTAAATTGGGCTGTCTCTGTGGCTGGTTGACGCAGGTGCATACTTCTCTTGGGATTCAGCGAACGATTGTTTTGTTTATTTTAAAAACAGGTTCAGTGCCCTCAGAATGTAGACTCCAAATACAGGTCTCGTGGTGGGAACAGAAGGATATGTTCATTCCATTGCTGTTTAAGTCACTCCAAAAAGCACTTTGCAGCTTAGTGTTTACTTTGGGTTTAAAAATAATGTCCTTTGTAAACCTCTCAAAAAAACTCCTGGCTGTTAGCTATTGGCTTACCTGACTTCCATGCAGCCAAGTTTTATAAAAGGGGATCTAGAGGAGCTGACATGATTGCAACTTGACTCATTCACTCAGAAATGAATGAGTCCTTCTACAGAGCCTCTGTTTGGAAAGGGTTAAGCGAAAGAAGAAGGAAAAAGGGAGCAATTCCATTATGAAACAAGGGAGGTGAATTTTATCCATTTATGTAGCCTTGAACTACACAGATTGCATAAAAGGAACTCCCAATAGCAACTTCCCTGACCAAACTCTTGTGTTTCTTAAATTAAAAACATGACAGTGAGACACTATTATGGTTTGCTGGGTTGAAAGTCATTTCTTATCTCTCAGTAGGTGACATTTACCCCTCTCCTACCAAATCTCCACACACGTGTGCACATGCCAACTGACTGGGCATAGGAATATTGTGTCCAAATAGTCAGTGGCTACCAAGCGAATGTACAACATGGACTGCTTCCCTGGCAACAATCCCTTGTCCCCTCAAAATGAACCTGTTTCCAGCTAAGATTTAACAGTGGGGGTGGGGCTGGGTGAATTGCTGCTTTTTCTTTTGGCAGATTCCTTGTGGCCCTCATCTTGTCCAGATTGAATCTCTTCAGAATTACTTGTCAGTGATTAATTGTTGGTCTGGAGATTGAGGGTATTTGAAATTTGAGCTCATTAGTTATTGTGGCTTGGACACACAAATCACACAGTACGATTCAGTGCCCTGACTGCATGAGCACAACTATTATTTAGGCTTCCGCTTCTACAAATGCTCGTCTTGACCAATTCAAACCGAGCTTCCTGTGACTGTGCTCAGGGCTGACTTAGAATTCTTTTCCCAGGATGACTGTCTGCCGGTGGACTCGTTCACTGGGCTGTTCGTACCAAGCCACTACAAAAGGGATGTGAACCCAGCCAAAGAGAAGTCATTGTACAGTGTTACTGACTAGTCGTGTGAAGTGTCCCATGGCCTGCATCCCGTTCTAATTGGCCTGCGTGCTGCAAAGGGCGGAATAAGTGCTGAGCTTAGCATAGGCATACAGGCGTTGCTGTATTGGTGCCCCAGCGCTCGGCCCCTCGCAGGATTGAGCCAATAATTCATCAGTCTTATTGGTGTTGTACACAGCGTTCCGTCGAGTGCCATCCCAGTGGGCATGGACACAGCACAGTTCCATTTTCTCAGGGTGGTGAAACCGTAGGGCGC